GTGAACACATTTAGATCTCTGGCTATAGCCGTGATCACATTTACATCTCTGGCTATAGTCGTGAACACATTTAGATCTCTGGCTATAGCCGTGAACATATTTAGCTCCCAGGCTGCAGCCGTGAACACATTTAGATCCCCGGATATAGCCGTGGACACATTTATAACAACATGCGCATATCCTAACATCTGTTTAAGCATGGGGGTAAAAGACAGATGATTTAACAAAGATAATTGGCTTCAGTGTTCCGAGAAGCAAAGTGTTTAAAATTGTTATGGCGCATAACCCTCCCCCCGAAAACAAAATACTTTCACTTTCTTTTTAGCCTTTCAACTTCCTGTAGAGCATGGGCCTCCGACAGTCTTATTCCACTTTCTTTTGCTTTGGGCTACTCTGGTGATGATGTGCCAGTTGTGCCCCATCTTCTTCATTTCCTGTTCCCATGTTCTACGCTAGGTGTTTTTTGGCTTTCCTCTATTTCTCTTCCCCTGTGGACTCGGATTCCATTGGAATGCCTTTCTAGTGATGGTTTCTGATACTTTCCTTAGTGTATAACCAATCCAAGTACATTTTCTTTTCTGATTTGTGGGAAGTGTCTGGTTTGTTTGTTCCCAGAGCTCTTGGTTACTAATCCGGTTTGGCGACCATATTATTATGGCGCATAACCCCCCCAAAAACAAATTACATGGAACAATATTTAAGTCTTCCCTATTTATCTGTATTCAATGACTTTCATAGCAATGAACATCAATGCATTCGGCAGGTGTTAAAAGTAAATTATCAGATTTCACACGATACCCAGGAATTTCAACATAGATCGCGTGGGATTCGCAATGTTTGAGCTTGTTTTGCCTTACGAATAAGAAACAAAATCTCAGGCAGTATCTTTGATTGCAGCATGCAGATAGAAGCGCACACAGCGTATCAATTTACGATCTGGCGGAAGCATCCGACTCAAAAAAATCACGACCGCAAATGTATGCCAACATTGGTAGAATTCCTTCATGTTATAGGCGTAGCGCATTTAATTCGCCGTGTAAGTATTGGTATCAATTAACACATTTTATGTAATGTGCGTTATGTACCGTTTCGCTGGGTGGCCCTAAGCTCTTAAGCATTGCGATATAACTAATAATCTTACAGAATTATGTTCAAGTGACATTTTGGGGAACTACTATCGAATGATTTCTGTAAATTTCACAATGAAACAGGAAGCGCAAAACACAGACCCACAATTACAACGTCGCAGAAGCAGGTGCCATGGGACTAAAATGAAATCATCTGTGAAGTCAATCCGGAGAGTCTAACAGCTTGATTCAACCGTGGTTCACACGTTATACCGACACCAGTTACGGCATAGTTGAAATATCGCTGTCACCACAGACATAGCAGTGATGACAGAGACACTGTACCATAATCAAAACTCAAATATGCGTAGAATACGTACGACTGGTTAAGATCTCTTATATTTACGAGTTCACAACTATTTCTATTGACAACAACAGAATAAAAAAACGAAACAAAAAAAACACATGTAGTTTAGAATAAACAATAATATCCTTCTTCAACGAAGACGCTGAGGAAACAAGTACGATTAATGAAAATCAAGACTAACCACCCCGCAAAACGAATATGACACTTCCCTTACTGCCCATTGATATACTGTGGGAACAGTCATTACTTACTTACACCTCGTAAATTAGAAACTTATCAACATACTTCGTGATGTCATGATTCAACGAGGTTTCATAGTGTTCATATCACTACGGGTTGAAATTAAACAAGGGCAACTTTCCTTAATAGTCCTTGTTGTATATTCATCGCATGTTTTTTTTAACGTACCATAACCCCCTCTCCGCATCATATTTTCCGCAACCCTTGGTACACAGGAATCACCGAGACTTGTCATGCCTGACGTTAATTCTTTCGCTGGCGCTTTGTATGGAACACTCTGTCGAATAAGGAGATACTCATTTTATCTGCCGGGTTGCCAGTATGGGCCGGTATAAGTGTTGATTACTGGGTGTAGTCGAACATGATTTTCTCTCATAGAGCCACGCGGTGCAGGTCGTGAAAGTTCATGAGTTTTCCGTCATACATTTGCTGTTTCGCACCCAGGCGGAAATAATTGTTACCCTCTACCGTCTAATTGAAGGTACTGTGATAACACGTAGTAAATCACGTACTTTACGATACATATATCGGATATGACCCAGTAACCTTCGCACTAAAAGTTTCCATTTTATTCATGTGGGAAAACGGTGTTCTAAATCTTCATAGTGAAAAGTGTGAAAATTAAAGAAATAAATTAGCCTCAATTTGCCTGTACTTTGACCTTGGAGTGCATTATTTCGACAACTGCGCAGTTTATTTGTCTATCAATATTCGCGTATAGAAGATAGTGTTAGAGCGCCACTAACGGCACAATATGCAACATTTTTGCTTTCAAAATTTCGAATTGTTTTTGTTTGTGTTGTGATATATTTTATTTTCCAACACTCTTCGTACTTTATTTTAAAATATAAAAATATCACATTGGTGTTCACGCTTATAGAGAATTTTGAGCATAAACTCCTTCCTCTGAATATATGTGGAAACTAAATGCAAGAAGCTTCCATATTTAATTGCGTTTCAATTTAAAAGTGAGGCTGAAATGAATAAAATCGGAAATATCCATGCCTACAACGTACGTTGTATATATTTATGAACTTTCCCCATATAGCCATAATCTTGTGCTGGTTCCTTGTTTCCATGTGCGTAAATCACATAAAAACCTAGTCTACGAGCTATGCGACATTCCACTCTACATCGACGCCTAGGAGCGACGCTAGTATATCTCGTGTTTCATCTATCTTTAAAACACAGTGGTCGTCGCGCTGCGCATGTGCGACATTTGTGTTGATAAACATTGATTTTCCTACAATCAAATGCGCTCTTCAAATGGAAATCACATGTATGAGGTTTGAGCTAGGCGCGATTTGCAATGAATACCACCGGTGACTCCTTCGATACCTTCCAATCACATGGGAATTACCTAATTACAGCTTTGAAACTTCCCAGTTTGTACCCATTGATCTGCGCAACATTCAAAGTCGACATCTTTGTTTATATGAGACTCATATTTCATATCTCGTGCATGCGTGGCGCGACGACTACCGCCCTTTAAGTGAACGTCTCAAACATAATGGTATCTCATGAGCGCCACGGCATATACAATACTTTATGTTGACTGGCAGTTTGAAAAGTTTACGTGTAGGGAATATTTACAGTGATGGCATTGCATTCAAGCAATCATATCCATTCCGCTACACCGTGGACTATAGTAAATTTTCTGCAGCGACACCAGTTTTTCATAATTTTGCT